AAACTTAATTTATCTGGAATAAACTACCAGAGTCGGCTACAACTGTCACTTCTTTTAAATCAAGGCTGAAGTCTTTCTATTCACCGCTGTCTTTAGTCTTGTTTTCTATTCCTCTCTTATTCTATTTTAGCTTGTCTTACTTTCCTGTTGTCTTGGCTCTTTAATGCTTTTAATTGTATTTAAATGTCATTGTGTGTCGTGTTACTTTTGTCTCAATGCTTTTGAGGTCTCGTTTAGAAAACTTTGAATGGCCTTGTTGCAGAAATGTGCTGAATAATAATAAACGTACCTTCTCTTTCCTTGAGGGGAACTTGGGGGGATGGTACAGGAAGAACTAGAGGAGGAGCTAGAAGACAAACTAGAGGAGGAGCTAGAAGAAGAGGGAGAGGAGGAGCTAGAAGAAGAAGGAGAAGAAATAGGAGTGGAGAAGACACAAGAGGAGGGAGGAGATGGGTCACGGCAAGTGGAGGAGCCAGTCCTGCGTTGTGAGGCTGGGATCCTACGGAGGATGATCCGTGGGGTGTCGGGGTGGTTGGAGTCCGGGACGAGGAAAGTCCTCCACGTGAAGCGTTGTCCCGCCTGAAGGTTTCAAAAAAATAAATACAACCATCAGACCACTGCTCCACATCATGGAAACAAACCAAGGACTGTTACATCATATAGACTTTCTCACATCACATATTGAATTAAGGAGGATCAGTGCCCCTATGCAGTAATAGATCTCTCCCAGGTGTGTGTGCAACGACCACTGCTGTAGTTTTTGATTGAATAAATACAACCCAAAATTGTGTATCGGACACGTTTTAAATCGCAATTTAATCTACGCAGACGTGTGACTCAGCTCTGTGCTCGTAACCGAGATTTCAAGTCTATTTCTTTTGACAATACAGAAGTAAACGTGATGTTGATGCCCGATAAAAAGGCTCAGAATAACTCTGTCTCTGCAGGCAGTTCTGTTAGCTGTTAGCCAAACACACCGTCCAAAAACAGTTAAAGATGAGCAAACCGTTTTCTTCTTCTTTGGACATTCACAGAACATTCGGAATATGAGTCTCAATGGGAGATGATGAAGAAACTTATCAAAGTGTTAAAATAACTGTGTGACGTTCAGGTTCTTTGTTCTTACCGTGCTCCTGGTTGGAGGGACTGTGTCCGTGCTGCCAGGGCTGTAGTCTGGTGGGGGACTAGGTGAGGAGCTCATCAGATCTCTGATCCTGAGGATGGTCCATAAGACGCCGGGCCGGTAAGGGTCCGGGACCTGGACCTGGACGTAGGTGCACCGTAATGCCATCTGAGGGTAAGAACACACACAACCCTCAGACCACTGATCCACATCATAGTCATTTCTCACATCACATATCACATTGAAAGGATCAGTAGCACAAAGCAGTGTGACTAGATAGAAAGTAAATGTCATACAATAAATGATACGCTCGCAAAAGTATTAGCAGAAACAAACCCAGTACAGTGCAACATGTTTGCATTTGTTTCAGTGTTGTTACTGCAGGAGGCCTTCCATATGTCTACATGCTGCATGAACACAGTACCACTGATACAGTTTCACTGAACACAACACAGTTTACCGTCACATTATTAAAATGACACCTGACCTGCTCTGATATTCACACCACCATTTTGTTTTCATAATTCATGAGCACATGTATTAGGCTGTGTATTGTACTGATTTCTATCAGCTGTTTATTGTAAACATTAATATGTGGGTGCACGTAAACACGTGTGTAGATAATTACTATCAGTCTGGATGCTTTATTACAGTTTACACAGAGTACATCTACACTCAGATACATTTTACACAGCGAGGTTTACGCCAGACTACATTATTTTTTTAAAAAAAAGGTAAATTTAAAGCGGTCTTGCTGATTGATTAAAAGTCAGAAACATATCAGCACTTTTTCTATAGAAAATATCTTTTAGTGGTTGTTTCACTCTGCTGTTCATCGTGTTAATATTCAGAGCACGAAGACATAAAAGTGACACATTTATGAACAACTTTATGTGTAAAATAGCCTCATATATGAAAAATATCACAAGTATGTAGGAAATGTGTGAATTGTGAGTTAATATGGATTAAATATATTATCATGCGTGCATCACTTGTGATCCGTATCACCTAGAAGTTATATAAATATAAAGAAACAATATTTTTATTAGCATTTCTCAGTTTAAGCTAACGCTGGACGGTCGGATCTATAAAGCTAACGTTAGCTAACGAAGAAAGCAGCTTTGGTTCAGATAAACTTGTTTAAACTTGGTCTCAACAGTCAAAAGTCAGTCCTAGTGGATTAATATACACTGATAACTGAAAATATTATCAATATTTGGATAAACATCGGTTCAGAAAGTCTCTATAAATACATAGAGAAACACAAAAAACAGTGGTGGAAAAAGTATATAAATGTTTTTTCCTGCAAATGTTTTCAAACCTTTATCAGCAAGTCAGCGATGCAAAGAAATCCTGGTTTGAAGGTGTTTCTTGGGAGATTTCGTCGAGTGAAAGTAGATATTTCTGCTTTTTCTGACTGATCAACGGTTGGAACAGACTGAATTTAGGAAAATGCACAATTTGGTAAACATGGTAACGATGGAACGTTCAGGTCCCTGCTGAGAACAGCCTAGTTCTTACCTCAGAGTCTCCATCAGGTCCTCAAAAGTCCTCCGCTGCACAAACAGACATTAAATACAACTTTAAGAGGAATATCCCTGTCCACATGAGCTCAAATAATACAACTACTCTCCTGTCGCGTTTGAGAGTCACGTGACATGCCCAGGGGTTAACCACACATTAAGTCTCCACTCAGGCCTATTTAAAAAAAACACGGTCTCATATAATGTCCAATAATATAGAGATGCATGTTTGCATGGAGGTTTGAGGGTGTCAGGTTGGACCCTGTCCTTGGTCCTATGTGGTCCTCCAGTATCCACAGATTGACAGCAAGTGGACCTGCTGTTTTCACAGGTTTCCTATATTGTTGTGATATATTTTTTAGAGACAGGAAGCCAGATTTTCAAAATAAGTGACACAAACATCAGTTTGAAATAAAATGAAAACATATTTTCTGAGGTTTGTTTACTGGTCCACATCCTGTCTGTCTTTGGGCCATCGTTGGACAAATGTCTCTCCAGAGACAACACATTTACACACCCCTGCATCACACCTGTATTACTCTCTTTGATCCATTTTGTTTTGTTAAAGTAGAAACTTGATGTAACTTTACTAATTGATATTGTGCATAGTGGCATGTATGCACATGTTAAATTAGTTGTTTAACAAGTACTTGTGGGAAGAAGCAAAGTTAGTAATGTGCACGAATGGGTTCTTTGGTCCGAAATACTCTGCTAGGATGAACACTGTACACACTTTGGTGAACTTTTTGTCTGGTATTGCTAAGTTGGCCATTTGGCTAACTCGCAGGAACCGGGCTCAGAGTGCGGGCAGTGTGGAGCTGGTACCGGTTCTGGAGGGACTGCTGAAGGCCCGACTGAGTGTGGAATACACTTACTATCAGATGATGGACAATGTGCAGGTTTTCAGCCGCATTTGGGCTGTTGGGGCGGTGTCATGCTCCGTGGGGGAGAAGGGAGAGCTGATTGTTAATTTATGATAAGTTTATATGTTTCTGTCCTCAGATGAGTTGTTTTATTATTTATTTATTTTTAATTGATGATGTGACAGTGATCTGGTGTCTCCTGGATCAATTAAGGGAATTTGAAAACCCAAACCTCCTCTCTCCTTCTGTCCTCCTCTCCCCTCCCTCTCTCTTCTCCTCCTGTCTCTAAAAGATAAATAGAACTCAAGTTATAGTTTAAAAATCAGGTGAACAGATTATTTATTCATCAAAACGTGTGTGTGTGTGTGTGTGTGTGTGTGTGTGTGTGTTAGACAGACAGACAGAGAGAGAGAGGGAGATCACATAGAGCAGAGAGCCAGTGTGAGAACAGTGGTCTTGTTGTGATGAAGTCAGCGAGGCCATAGCCAGTCAGCATCTGGCTGTGAATTACTTCATTCAGATGACACATGTGCTCAATATGCCAAACTGGGAACTTCCGAGTGCCCTGGGAAAGTGTTTGAGCCAACAAATGCAACAAGGGAATACACTAGTTTTATTGTTTGGGAGCTATGATCACAGTCATCTCATGAGGTCCGTCAGCAGGCAAGGTTGACATATAAAAAGTCCAACCAATTTGTAAAAATGTGTGATTGAATTATGCAGGAATTGTATATAGGCATACCTAATAAATACATATTTTTGTATCTTATATGCTAACGAGTACCTTTCTACTCACTATATCACTGAATCAAGCTAAAGTTGTTGCCCTTGCAGCTCAGAATCTACTAGATTTCAGTAAAATTAGGTAGGGTGATCCTTGCCTGATATAAAATTGTTTATTAGTTAGTTTAATGTAATGCCATATTTGGAAATAATGATAACACCGAGGGAACAGGGGGTTACCTCCAACGCCCCATCACTGTTCAAAGTACACGCGGAACCCACCGGCTAGACCGTGCGGTAACATCCAATGAAATACTCTGATGTTAGCACATGAAGCAGTACAACACAATCCAGTTGCTATTGGAAGCCAAAGATCAGTAATGTCAAGACGCTTCGCTCTCATTTCCAGCCAATGAAAACCACTGTCTGTTAGACCGTCAGACCCGAAATATATTGTCACAGGGAAGATCCTACAAACTGAATTATATAGAACTGTATATAAATGATACATACATGAATTAATATTATGAGAAAATCCTCGTAATACAACACGACCAACATAAGACATAGCTATATTTTGCATATGCGAGAGGAAACTCCTAAATGTGTAGTTGTCAAAGCACTATCAGTAACTTACAAAGACCCTAAATATTGATGCATTCCGCATGCATTGCAACTGTACATTTTCTGGAAAACTAGAGGTGATGTTACCAATTTGTGACTGTGTCCTCCGTATTTTAGCGAAGCCGGAAGTGGATAGGGGTGAATCCTCTCACTTCCACTGGCTACTTTTGGCCGCCTGTAACAACAGCAGCATCAGACAAGGGATAACCTAATGATGGAAGAATTTGAAGGTGAACGAAATTGACGTTTATGTGTTTATTTATTTCGATGTTTCGTGGCAAAGTCGAGCTTACAGCCTCTCCATTTTCATTATTTCAATTTGACGGATACAGCACTGCATTAGCATTCAATTTTTGTCAGCGACCTCTTTTTGTGTGTGTGGGATTTAGCCTAAGTAATGCTAGTTTAACGTCAGGGCCGAAGATGAAGCTAGCTCCGACTGTCTCTGAATGGGTGTGATCCCTACATTAGCCATAGGAGCTATCCAGTGTTAGCATACTGCTACCTAAAGAACCGTGACATAAATGAAAGCATAGTAGTGCATTTAGCCCTTAAATGTAGGTAATAACGTCTGCCGTGCCGTTATGCCATTGTGGGAACAACAGTATTACATTTATGTGAGAGAACATAACGTTTAGCATTTAACTATGTGTTGTCGCCAACAAACCCAATGTTTGTGTACAGCTGGTAAAGATAAAGGTGGCCAGCTGTGGTGCATTCATGTTATCTGTGATATAAAACTTCCTTCACTATAACCAGAATTGCATCTTTTATTCTTACAGACAATGATGCTCCTCCTGCTGGGGATCTGACTCAATGCGAAACCTGTAACAGATCCTTCCTCCCTAAAGTCCTGGTAAAAAAAAATATTTTACGTCTTATACGTGTAAGATTTTAGTCTACATGATTTAAAACCCTGACCAAGGACTTGCTGTAGTATAATGTATGTAAATGTCGATAATGGTTGGCTGCTATGTAATAGAATTTGTCACCAAGGAATCAAACCCGAAAAAACAAATGCTGTGTTTGTACACTTGAAGCACTATTGAGATTACTTACAACACTTCTTTACATAATTGTTGTTGTGTAAAGCATTTTGTACACATTCTTATCTATATAGTAGTTACAGACATAGATAAAGACAAATATGATGCATATGTTCATTAATACCACTATATTTGCTGTCATCATTACAGTCTGTGTTTTGCTAACATGACTAAAACATAATACAGAGATGGGTTTTATCACATAAAAGCTACAATGATCTCAATAAGAACATATTGTTTTCCTGTGATGCCAATACACACATTTGTGCACTTCTACAAGCACTCAACCGAATTAGTTGTCAAATAATGTGTTATGCATTTGTTGGCATGTGTGTATTTGTGTGAACAACTTTGTAGTTTGTATTTAGATTTTCCTTGAAAGATGTTTTGCATTCTTTACTTCACAGCTGTCACAGAAATCACACATGTCTTGCTCTCTGACTCTTTCAAAACAACAAAAAATAATCATTTCCGAATTGTGATTGAGACAAAATGGCAGATAGGGTAATAGAGAGGCACAGATCTCAAATGTTTCCCAAACACATGTCGAGACACATTACGTTTGTGTAGTTGTTGTGTCCTGTGCATCTTTTTTTCTCTCACTACAGCAAAGGCATGCGAAAATCTGCCAAAAGTCAGCAACCAAAAGGAGGAAGGTTTTTGACTCTAGCCGACAGAGAGCTGAGGGTACAGACCTCCCCACGCTCAAACCCCTCAAACCAAAGGTAAGACTACACCTTAGGGGGGGGGGGGGGGGGTTCAATTTGATTTAATAGGAAGAGAAAAACTGCTCAAAGTTGTACATCTCTGTGTAGAATCTCTGTCCGAAAATAACTGCAAGAACAGTTTCATGACATTTGAATATGTACAATTCAGCCTATATAAATGTAGGCGCTTTCAATTGTATTTCAGTCACAAGGTTCATCTTCTACTGGGAAAGTAAGTTGATTTGTCTTTTTTTTCATTTGTCCTTTCTTTCTGTGTACATTAGTTTTTAGTGGCACGATTAATCAGCTGAAGCCCAAATGGCGTTTCCTCAGATCCCTCACTGTTTCTGGCTTTATAGATACTGGTTTCCCCTCTTTGAGCCATTGGCTTAAATAGTCTGGATGCGTGTCAACTCATACTGGTGGTATTAACAAACACACTGAATCTGTGGTATTTTCCTTTCCTTTCCACAACTAAAAATCTTAAGATGTAGCCATGATAATTTCATTTTCTTTCAACATAACTGTGTTGACAGTATGACCCCCTATCTTCTCAAGCTGCACTGATTCTTTTGAACCTGTTGTAGACTTATACTCTTACTCTTTGACAACTCACCTTCAGAATACAGAGCTCGGCCAAAAGCTGTCTGTCTGTTTGTCTTAGTTTGTTCTTGTAAACTTCTCTGCTGGCTGAGACAAAGCAGCCAGGACAGAGGACAGGAGGAATGACATACTACTGTATGTGATACCTGTGTTCTTCATTATTATCATTTATAAACTTCACTCAGGACAATTTAGATTTGTTTCCAGTCATTAGTGGCTTTGCTGTTGTAAACATAGCTGTTGCTGCTCTAGAACCAATATTTAGTTATACCTAAATTACAAATAACTTCTATTCCTGTTCAGATCATTTAGTCATGAAAAAGTATTGATAAGAGTGGCTCCTTGTACTAAAATCCTAAAGATACCTATCCGTACCTGAAGGCCACATTTATATATATATATATATATATATACATATATACA